GCGGCCAGCCAGATACGTCCGGTCCTACGACGTTTGCGTTAACCCGCGACTCTGGGGGTGTAGGGTCAGCGAGGTCTGCGTGCTTAGACCCACCCGGCCTCCGCCCCAACTCCGCCTCCGCTGACTCGCTCCGGGAGCAAACTCTTGAGCCGTCTGCTGGCCTGAGCCCCGCGCTTGGCCTGCCGAGCCCGGTTTTACCAAAGAACCCCCCACCCTTGGTATCTAATCTAGCTCCTCTTCCTCCCCCTGATTTCTAATCAAGTTCGCCTTTCCCAGACACTTGAATCAGCATCTCTAACAAGCTCTCAGGGAAAGGGGGGGGGGGTTCAGAATGAGGGTGGAGGGGTCGTTGAGGGGGCCCTAACCCAGGGCAGAGATTACCATGGGGGTACACTGCCTGTGCGTAGGAGATACTCCATGCATATGTTCTGAGTGCCTGAATGAACGAATTGGTCCAACAGATTCTCCTGGAAATTTGAATTGGAAGGTTAATTAAGTAGTTATCTGTGAGGGCTAAAGCAGAAAGAAATCGTTAAGAGAGAGAGCTCCAAGGGAGTGTGTGGACTGAAGCTATGAAGAAGCAAAAACCACAAATACTACAAGCTTAAAAATAAATTTACAGAATGGAAGGGAAGAACAGGCAAAGAAAATGGGCAACTGAGTAGACACACAGGAGACAAGCAAGGCAGAGACAGCCTGGTCCCTCCTTCCACAAGTTGCCAGAGAACCAGACACCCTTGTAGATTATGGTTTTTACAATGAAACCCCTTTGTTTTAAGGTGGTCTGAGTGCATTTCTAAACCTAACTAAAAATAGCCTTCCACTTTGTCTCATTTTATTACTCTTAATAACTCTGCAAGGAATGAATTACTATTTCCATTTTACAGGTAACTGTATTAAGACACATAGAGATTAGTTAATTTCCCATCTCTCGGGATCTCAGAGCAGAGTTTGACAGCAAGTGATGCTCCAGGTGGTATCAAAACCACAACGATGAGGGTAGGTACTGACTCTTTATTGTTTCCCTGGTTTCTATCAAAATGTTTAGAACACAGTAGGGGCTCAGTTAAGATTTGTGAAATGAATGAATGAGGAATCTCTTTTATCATCAGTTGGTCAAATGAATCATACATCTAAAAAGTTAGCTGATATAATGGGAAAGAATTGTTTTCATACAAATTAAGAAAATTATAAGGGCCAATATTAACTTTTTAATTATCCAAGAAATATGTATTAAAAGTGTATCTGTAAATTTTAAGAATCAGGAAAAAATAACTGAGAAATTCAGATCTTTGAAAGAATGGACATTGTCCTGTGTTATTCACTCAACAGTTCAGAGATCACCCTTCAGCTTATAAAATGACAGGGAGTTCCTTTAAACTTTGTTTAGATAGAAGCTAGAAACAGCCACTGATATACTTTTGTGGACAACATATTGAATCACACATGCTTTTTGTTTTGTTAATGAAAAAGGATGCCTTGTTGTGGTCCCTCATGCGATAGAATTCTCAATTAGTCAGTACAGGCCAAGTTCTGCTGCAATAACAAATTAACCCTGAGATTTCCATGGCTTAGGTTGCAAAAGTTTACTTCTCTCTCATGCTATGTGTCTGACATGGATCAGAAAGGGACTTTGCTCCACAGAGTCACTCAGGGACTGGAGTTAACAGTTAACATAGATCTCAGCACATGGACTCATGAAAACTAGGGCAGGAAATGAGAACAGCTGAGGGTCTTAAACCAGTTCTTGGATGCTTCCTCTGTTCACTGTCCAGAGCTACCCACATGACTTGCCTAACAGCCAAGGTGATGGGAAATATGGGGCACCCGTGACTGTTCAGTGCATGGACAGTGCACTGGGCATGCCGGAGTACCCCAAGATGCTGCCCTTGACCCTTGTCCCTCCTCCACCCTGCAGTCTCCCAGGTGGTCTTATCCAGGGTACAGTTCTTGTGTCTCCAGCCTGCAGGGCTGTCCTGGACTGGTACCATCTGGCTGGTGGGTGGGCTGGGTCCTGACATGACAGGCTATGAGGCTGTGGTGGTCCTGGGCTGGTGCCTGTCCAGGGGCGAGTGGAGCAGGGTCCAAAAGGCCTGGGAGCTGGTGTTGGCACCTGGCAAGCTGCTTGGCCTGAGGTATCCCAGTACTGTTGCTGAAAGGCTGGTGAGCGGGGTTGGGTCCCAAGGCCAAAAAGCTCGGGAGGATTCCAGAATAGCACTTGCCAGCACCAGGGTCCTCGCAGCAGAACAGACTCCCACACGTGGCTGCTGCCAGTTCCTGTGGCCACATTCTGGGGCCTCATCTTCCTGGTGCAGGACCCCTGGTCTGGGGAGTCTGACGTGGCACTCAGACCACTGGCCCCTGGGGAGAACCTCTACAATTGTACTTACCCTCCCACTTGGGGGTCACTCCCCCAGGGTGGTGGTCTTGGCGCTACTCCATCTCTGCCCTGCGTACCCATTTTGTTTTGGTTCCTTTTAAATATCCTTAGTTGTACAAGCTCTTTTCTGTGGTCTTCCAGTCTTTCTCATCAATTGTTGCTCTGTAAAACGTGGTGATTTTGGTGTGCCTGTGGGAGGTGAGCTCAGGGTCCTCCTTCTCCACCATCTTGGCCACTCTCTCCTCTGCCCGTTCGTTTACCCAGTTACCAGCTGGGCGTCTTCCCTGGGATCTCACGTATAGACACCTCAGGCCAACTTGTCTTCAGGTCTTTCCCATCTTAGTAAATGGCCATACATCTACCCAGTGGTTCACGAAATCCTTGCTTTTCACCTTAACCCAACACTCCCCAGCCGTGTCATGCCGCATCTCTGTAGGCGCAATAATACGCTGAGTGCTGGACCTTCTCTTTTGTTTTCAAAGAAAGATTTAATTAGAGTTTTCACTGACGATGAGCCAGGTATGAAAAAACCTGACCCGCTCGGACTGTGGCGTGCTGGAGGAGGGTGTGGGTTGGAGCCCATCCCCGGGGTATTTAAATAGTTTCAGCCGTAGCATTAAGAATGAAAATAGTTACGTGGTGGCCAAATGCTGGCCTGTTGGTTAATGAGTCAGTGAAATGTGTGTTCTTCTTATTTAGAAATATGTCTTTTAAACGGAAGGTTTTTCCTTCTTCTGATAGTAAGGCTGAAATATTTATAGACTTAAATCTCCAGGACTTCAAAGAGCGTTACAGTGACACAGCTCTGAAATTTGCGGAGACTTGTTCTGTGAATTCATTCACAGTTGTGTTGTGTAAATGTTTCACGTGTATCTGTGAAGAAACATTTGTCATTTCATTATTTGGGGCAGAGTTCTATGTATGTCTGAATCAACCTTGTTAATTGTCTTGTTCAGATCTTCAACAAGAAAGAAAAGGAAGAAGGGGAAGGAGGAGGCGGGAGGAGGGAAGGAAGGAATCCAAAACCTAAAAACAAGTTTCTGTGGGCCTATCACCAAATTATGTCTTCAGTCCCCCACGTCTCCTTGTGGCCTTACTGTGTCCTCCACTGAGCCTTCAATGCCTCTCTCTCTGCTAGAACTCAGGAGGCAGTTAAATTTTTATTTATTTATTTGGGTGGGTACTTTTTTTTTTTACTTATTTATTTTTAATGAAGGTGCTGGGGATTGAACCCAGGACCTGGTGCATGCTAGGCACACACTCTACCACTGAGCTGTGCCCTCCCCCCACCTTTTTTCAGAAATACTGTTTTCACAGGTTCACTGCCTGTCTCTCTCTGCTGGACTCAGGGAGGTTTTTGGGAGGAAAGGACTCTCTTGTTCTCTTCCACGTCTTCAGTGCCTGGAATGGTGACTGTCCCATTTTAGAAGCCCCATTAATATCTGTCATCCATAGAAGGCATGTTCCTAAATAATTATTTAGTGATACGCTGGCCTTCCCCTGGTAAGTGAATTAAATGAAAAGAAGAAAAAAAGGTAGGATAGAAAACTTGTCGCAATGAGCCTGATCTGGTTTTATGAGAAGAAAAAATACATACATTAAAACAAAATAAGAAGAAACATGTCATTTGTGTCACGGGTCTCTCTAGGTGATGTTTATAATGTTAAAAATGCTTCCACAGTTCTACTGTTAAAGAGTTTTTTTCCCATAGACAGAATGTATATAATTAAACAAGATTTTTTCATAAAGAAAATTATCCAGAGGATGAGTAGAGGGTGATGTATACATCGTTCTATGTCCGTGGCCACGCGTACACACTAAGGCAAGCCAAATAACTACCATTCCATTTGCTAGCGTACAATTCTGAATATTCAAAAAGAAATCTGGGTGTGGGTGTAGCCCCAGGGTAGAGCACGTGCTTAGCATGGTCCTGGTTCGATCCCCAGTGCCTCCATTAAAACAACAGGAACTAAGTCTGAGTTGATGGGTGTGTGTGTTCTTGGTATTTGTTCTGTCTGCTTCTGATCATATCACATTAAGATTCTAAGGTAAAGTTCTTTAAGAGTCACCAGAAGAGAGACAAGAAGGTTTTACGGTTAAGACTGAAAATGGACAGACAGACAAAACTGACGTCAAATACTAGTATCAACTAATAGGAGTCTTCAGGGCCCACTGAGAAGTGTGGTTTTGCAATTACCCCAAGTTATGTCTGACGCCACCTCTATTGCTTTTAAGTTGGAAATTGTAGTGGTTTATGCAAATTTAGCGAAAGAGAGAGTCTTGGACTTTTATTGGCAGGGTTTTCTTGCACCTCCCACTGTCATAATTGATTACAGACTGTTCTCTGATGGAAGAACAGAATCTCGAGGCCAAGAAAATATCACACGTACATGATAAACCATCTGCTTTGTCCGGCGACTGAGAACTAATCACGTGGGCAGCGATCCTAGCGGGAAGGGGCTGCCAGCCCGACGGTGCCCAGTTCGCCCTCGGCTGGACGTCTGAAGGTGGAGGGAGACGTGTTTTGGCAGCCGCTCTGCCAACATCTGACACCTGTCACCCGTAGTTCCCCATCATCGCGAGTTCCAAAAAAATCATTTCTGCCAAACAGCTTTTTTACTGCCGGACCATGGAAGGAGGGTGTCTCAGCCTGATGTGTTTCTGGGGATCTCCCTTTTATTTGAGTTCACATCTCCAGTAATCCCTTTTCATGCCTTGCCTTACAGCCTGTCACTTTGTGGGGAAGAGAACCTTCCCTAAGTTGATGTAGAATAATGGCAGCAGATATGAAGGGGACAGGACGGAAGGTGTAAATGCTCACGGCTTCCCCGCCACGGGTCAGAGCGGGCTTCTCCACCAGGGTCCGCAGGAAAACAATATCCCCCTCCACCCCTGCCCTTTGGGAAAATTAATATGTGCGTTAATAAGCCCTTTTTAAAAAAAATGAACAAGGAACATGACTTGTTTGCAGATACAGTCGTCCCTCAGTGTCCACTAGGGATTGGGTCCAGGCCCTTTCTCAGACACCACAATCCGAGGATGCCCACCCTGACATACAGTGGCGCAATATTTGCATGTAACCCACACACATCCTCCCGTGGGGACTTTAAATCATCTTTAGATGACTTACAATACCTAATGCAGTGTAAATACTGTGTAAATAGTCGCTGGTTCGCACTGCAGGTTGCTCCCGCCTGTGCCATTAGTGCCACCTAGTGGACCTCCCAGGAAGTGCTCCACGTTGACACCCACCGAGGCCTGAGGGTGCTGGGGGACCAGGCCAGAGCCAAAGCCTGGGCACCCCAAGTGGAATGGAAGCCTGTGATTTGGGTAAGCGTAAGTGCCCAGCTCCCGTGGAATGCTGAGGCAGCGCCCCAGGGAAATCAGCGGTGCTGCCTTGCTGTGTTCTCAGGCTGCCGGGCTCTGCCTGCCCCCGCCCCCTGCGGTCAGAGGATGGGACCTGCCCCTCCAGGCAGTGGGAGCCCAGAGCCAAGCCACCAGCCATCATCTCAGAGTGGCCAGCCTTATTTCTTTATGCCTTGGGAGAGATTAGGTCCATGGGAATCCCAAGTAGATGTCTGTGGCTGAGTTTACCCCGTTTCATGAGGATAACGTGTGTCCACGGTGTTTAAAATCCGCTAGCTTGTGTGTGCTCTTCAAGCTGTGTGAATATTTTCCCTTCATTTTTAAGACCACTTCCCACCCCCTTATTTTTGGAAAAGGATCAAACTCTATTTCCAAACTCGGCTGCATCTTATCAAATGTGCTTCCCTAAAACTCGTTTGCTTGAGGAATCCCATCCTGTCTCGTCAGAAAGTGCCTGCTGCCACCCTGGGGCATCGGCATTTGCTGTTAGAGCTCTGTGCGATCTCGGGGGCCTGTGAGTTTTGTTTCTCTGGGAAGCTTCTGAAAACGGGGGGCAGGGGTTTGTTTGTTCCGCTCCCCACTGGGGGCCCAGCGTGGCCCTGCGTGTTCACGGTACCTGTCAGCACTTCGTGACATGCGTACCTCCACACCCACGGTCACCAGCACCTGCGACAGAGAACGGGGCAGAGATGCCCTGGTGCAACATTCAGCCCTGAATCCGGCACGGGGAGAAAGTCCACCGGAATGTTTCATTTTGGTGCAAACTCTGTGCACTGACTTCAAGTCCCAGATCCCTGGAAAGTCATCAGCAATAGACAAGTGCTCACTGGAGCACCAACAGAAGACCTGGGATTCCAAAGTCTTCCCTTCATCACTAAGCTCCACTCGTAGAGAGGGCACTGCTGTCTCAGGTTTGAGATCTTCCAGCTCTGGGATGAAATGGGTCCGAGAGTGCATGGGAAGGGGCCCTGGGTTCATCCTGAGCCGGCTGCTCCGGCAGTGGAGCACTTGCCTTTCCTGCCTCCTCCCCACCTCAAACAGCAGAGCTCTGCACGGGAGAAGCCAGCGTTGCTGGGTGGCTTTGGAAGAAGCAGTGTTGTAGCTTATTAACAGATACGACATCGATACTGCAGGGCACACAGATGGGGGAGGGACCTGGCTGGACAGCAGGTTGTGCAGAAGAGGATTCCGAGGATGGTTAAGAGCGGCAGCCAGGGGCCCTGGAAACTCCCAAGAGGCCCCGCAGACTCCACCAGGCAGAAACCCAAGAGGAAAGTTCGCCTGCTTTTCTCCAAGAAGAGTGGAAATCCGTGGGGGGCTGGAGACAAAGGGGAATTTTGAGAGTCCTTGTGAGATTAAACATCCCATGAAGTAGAGTTACTTGGGAGGAACAAGGACTGTCTTAATCTGGACTTTCCCACAATGCCCAGTATTAATCTTACTGCCTACAACTCAGGTCAGAAGTAAACTGGAAAGCAGCCTTCAGTGACTGAAAGAGGCAGGGAACCAGAGAGAAAACCAATGTCTATGGTAACGTCAAAAGGGCTGTTACGGCCCTCTGCGTTACCCATCGCTCCCGGGAAAGACGCTGGGCTGAGCTGTCAGGTCTGGGAGCAGCCTGGACCGGGGCCTGGCAGTTTGCTGGACTTGCCCACCCCTCTGCCCGCTCTGCCTCCCCACCCGCCGCCTAGGCAGCCGTGGCCCAGCCCTCCCGGGAGGGATGCAGGAACAATCAGGAACCAGGCTCAAGCCACCGACTGCCGCCGGCACCCGGCAAAGCTTTGGGGGGAGACTCTCTAGAGAACCCCCAACCCCAAATCTGGAGGTGGCATTGAGGGCTTCTGGGAAACCAGGAGATGCTCACACCCAAGGGGGACTAGCTGGCAGTGATCAGGGGACTAGCATCTTATGCCAGGTCCCCGTGGCAGTGACTGACCCACCTTCTGAAGGTGGGCTGCGGCTTCGCATTTGTAAGGTGGTTGCCGGAGGACCCACAAGTAAGAACTACGGCACCGCTGGCTTGTGCTGCGGCCGCGCAGCCGCACACGTGGATGGCCCTCCAGGTGAGGGCTCCTGTGTCCCCCGACTCCCACTGCTGCCAACAGTTCCAACGTGAGAAAGCTGTGTTCCGTTCTGAGGACGGCTGGTCTAGAAATAAGTCAAAACGGCCAGAGGACTTTTCAGGTCAAGGTGAGTTTATTGTCCAAATAGCACAACCTAATTGCATCCAAAACCATTTTCAAATCCATCTTTAAACTAGTCAGAAAAACAGGTTATTATTTTTAAAAATCACTTAACACTGAACAGACAGGACCTCTTAAAAGGCAGCTGACTACATATCATGTCACCATCACAGCCGACACAACACTGTTTTCCCATACTTCCTAAAAACCTTCCATTTACACCGATCACATCACTTCAGCACTTGCTAGCACCCCAAATACACACCCACACCTCTTAAAGAGTACATTGTGAGAGAATAACATTGACTTGATACGGCATCACACTTGTTTTAAAGCAAAAAAAAAAATTATAATAATAATAAAAGAAGTCCAAGACGAGAAACTGTAACTGGGAGGGAGAGAGCGAGAGAGAGATCTGAGGTACGTGGTACAAAGGTAATGAACATAATGGAAAAAATCCAATGGCCCGGTGATTTGCTGGGGATTTAAGAGTTGGCCAGCAATCAGAAATAAAACCAACTGAAAATAAAAAAGGAAAACTTTTTTTTTTAAAGGAGAGGCACCTGTCAAAATACACTGGCTCTACTCTAATGGCTACAGTCAGTAAGGCACTTTTTTTCCCCAAAGCAGGCTGCAGGCAAAGGAATAAATGCCGCAGCTCCAGCCCGGTGAGCGTAGTGGACATGCTGCCGATGGCTTTTCGAAACCTGAGCCAAGGGTCGGGTCTGACAGCCCAAGCCAAGTCTACAAGCAGAGACACACAGAGGAGAAGGGTCGTTCTGGCTGAGGGGGCTGTTCCGGGCTGTTCCGAATCCAGAATCAAGTGAGGCCGCGTGGGAAGGGGATGCCGGCAACACCCCCCGCACCCGTCTGCCCTGTTCGGTACCGGTGGACAGCGGAGCGGGCGGCCCCGCCCACAGCGGCCAGCCTGGCCGCCACGGAGACAGAGCTCCCGTCTGCTGGCTTCAGGGGACTTGACCGCCTCAGCACTGATTTCCCTTTTAAAGCTATTCTCAGGGTCGGACTGTCTCAAACATACGCGAAGAGGAGTCCTTTGGGCTTGGAAGTCGGCTGGCTTACCCAGACTTCCTCCCCGTTCCAACCCCCAGGCCCACTCTACCAATACTCTCTTCTTAAACTAGAAAATCATTATTTACATGCTATAAGGTGCAAGTCTCATTCTCCTCCCAGCCCTAGCCCCTGCGGCCCATGGAGAGAAAATCTCCCTGCCTTCTCTGAGGAAGTCATCTCCATCCTGCTGCTGTCCGGGCTTCCGGGGCTGCGTGGTCACCCCTGAAGGGGCCGGGCTGCAGCCCCTTCAAAGGGAAGGGTTGCCTCCCCATCCCCAGCCACGTGTGCCGGACTTGGGCGACGAGGGAGGCAGGGCAGAGTCTCTGCACGGAGCAGGCAGACCCACGGGGACCGGGCTGTGGGACGGGCTGGGCTGCTCAGTGGGGTGGGGTCAGTTCCAGAGTACAGCCTCCTCGGAGAGAGGCCCCTCCTCTCAGCACAGGGGGACATTCTGCCAGGGCACCTGTCCCCTGCTTCCACCTGCAGGCTTCTAGGCCGTCATGAGCCCATGTGGAACTGAAGTCTGCTTAGCATATTATTTTTGGCATACAAGGCTGTTTCCCCCTAAGGTTTGGCCAAAATAGGGGAAGGAACAAAATTTGGCAGGCTAGGGCAACAACTCAGCCCCCACTGATGGAGAAAAACAAACAAACAAAAAACCAAAGGGAAGAAGCAGAGATAGAAGGACAACAAGGCAGAAACAGGCCAGAACACGTTTGGAACCCCTCCTGTGGGAGGAGAGGAAGAGGAACAGAGTCCACGGGGAGAACCGGACTCCTCTGGGACGGAAACTCCTACAAGGAAACCGAGATCCGACGAGAGGCTATCAGGCAATCAACAAACCCAGGCTGACTTCCGTGTCAGGAGGGAGCAGGCAGAAGGGCCAAACTACCTGGTACTGTCCCCGTCAGCAAACCCGCCCCTCCCACCCCACCAGGCCCCGAGGGTGGGAAGGAGAAAAAGTCAGAAGGCCCCAGTGGCCCTGGAGCTCCAGGAAAAGTGGAAAGTTACAGACTGGGGGAGAGCCTGCCGGCCTGTTCCCATCCTTGTTTGTCAGGTTCTCTCATTCGCTGCCTGTCTGAGCTTAAGGGCTGGTCATGGGGAAAGGAATCTGTACCTGGCCGTCTCTTTAGGCTCCGAGACTCCCGAGAACTCTTGGGCCTGGGCCTCCCTCCATCCTGTGGCGCCCCTCCGGGCCCAGAAGAGCGGTCCATGCCAAGTGGGGCTCTCGGTCAAACACGGGCTGCTCAGCCTTCCTCTCCCAAACCTCAGAATTCACCACCCACTGGCCCACCAGAAAGCCCTAGGACGTTAGGGGTCGAGGAACCTGCTGAGTCCTGGCCCCATCCGACACACTGCGAGTGAGGCCGACTCATCCGGACTTGCGTCTCAGGAGAGATGCAGCTCCCCACCTCCCTTCCACTGGCAATCCTCTACTCATCAGACCCGTTTCTCAACACGCGATTTAAAACCAGAAAACCATTCTGTAACCACTTCGCGGAGGACCCGGCCTTGCCTAGCGCTGGCCAGCCCCAGCCCCCGGCCTGCTGCAGGTTCCGAGAGCACCCTGAACTGGGGGGGGGGTGGCGGGGGCTGCCCATGTCTGGGAAGGGGCCAGAGAGAGGGGAAGGCTTCCAGACAAAGGGACCCGGAGCAGATGAGAGCCCTGCGTTAGAAAGGGCTGCAAGGAGAGGCTCTCCCAAGAGACTGCCGGAATTCTTTAGCGGGTCTCCGGGTCCCTGCTACCCCAGTGCAGACCGTGACTTCCTGCCCACTGCCTCAACCTCTGTGCTGAGTGCCAGCCTTGCCGGGGAGGGGAAGCCCCTTGGTTCAATTGCATTTTTTCCATCATGATGAGGATACCGGAGTCAAAATGGGAGCCCGATGACCTTCATGACTGAAGAGGTCCCTGGGCCTGAGACCCTGGGGCCAAATTCCCCACCTTCCGCCTGGGAGGGGGCTGCGGCCTCCTCCCCACTCTGCCTTCCCCTTGCCAATGAACGGGCTCCCAAGCGGAAACTGTACGGTTGTGAGGTATTATGAGAACAAAAATGTGAACCATTTTCTTTTGTAGCTATTGATTTTTGTCCAGTAAACCTGAGGTAAAGATACTCTGTCTTTGAAGGATGTGATCAGAGAGGAAAAAAAAAAAACCCATGAATATGTTACCAGAAGAAAACAAACTCTGTATGGAAGGGCTTTTCCAGTACGAAGAACTCCTATCTCAACCATCTACTTCAGGACTTGGAATTTAAGCAGTAAAATAATATATTATAAACACGTTTATAAGATAGCAGCACACGGTGAGACATGACAGCTACGCACTGTTAACGTGAGTGACCATGAATGTTCTTAGCTTCTTAGCAGCGCAAAAAAAAAAAATAATAAAAAACTGAACATAATAAAATGAAAAATAAGAGACCCTTAGATTTTTCTCCATCTTAAACCCTCATACTACGAAACAAGGCAGACTCTGTGTATAAAATAATTCTTCAAAGTAGCCCTGTTCTGATTTTTTTTTACTTAAAAAAGGCAAATATTTTAATAGCTTCATTACCTGTCAATTATAATTGTGCAAA